AACGCTCGAGGTAAAGGAGGGTGGCAATGCTACTACTTCTTCTCTCTCGTTCTTGTGTAATGTATCAAGTCTAACTCTATAACAGAGTCGATCTTGAAGCTCGTGCAGACTGCATGTTATAAATGGATTGCGCTGGTGAGAAACTTGGACCCAATTCTAATTAGCGAGCGCGCGTCCTTAGAAAGAGTTATTCCTCCTAGGATTCTGACCCTTAAGTTCTCTGGCACGTTATCGACTCTAGCTTGTCTCTTGCTACGTTCCTAAACGGTGTTTACTTTTTCAAGGCTACTTTACCATTGGACCTAGTAGAATTCCAAATAAATATTGGCTCACGCATTATTCTTCTCTAAATGCTATTCTCCGAATATTGAGCACAACGGGATTATTTCGACTAGCATTTCATTAAATGAGCATACATGTTGCCCCGTTTTCATCGAAGAGAGGCCCGTAGTAGTCGCATTTCGATGTCCAGTACATGGTGGCGTTGTCCTCTTGTAGACCGCATACATCGCATAGTCGTTTTCTTTTAATGAAATTCGATACGACTTGGTCTTTTTTACAGCGGCGAGAAATAATATCGTTTGTGTAGCTAAGACAATGTTCTGTCTTGGCTCTGTCTTAGTGAGACGACCTCTTTTACATGTCCGAAGTACTGCGTTGGTAGTTCATGAAGTAAGTTCCATGACCGTTTTTCTTTTAACCTCGGCTGAACAATACTTAAGTCAAAAAGTCGGTCGTGGGATCTGAAATCAAGGCATACTGTTTAAATTCTCGGCGCGGTTGTGTTTTATATAAGAAACGATAGTTGTGCGAAGGACAAGCAGATCCTCATCTGTTTTGGTTTAGCAAATTGGCATAGTTCCCAAGGTAAAGCCGCTTTCAATCTATAAGGGCCGATGGCTGCATGTGTAGTGTACCCGGAGATGCTCCACTAAGGCTTCTGGAATTTCATAGAGAATCAACTCAACTAGCGCTGAACAACATTCATAAAAAGAATGAAATCCTCAGCTAGGAAGCCGATTCCACACGTAAGCACAAAAACCTCTACTGAATTTCGCAGGGAAACGAGTAAAGGATTTTTCTAATCTGTGAAACCGTGCTGTATGAAAGAAGTAGTTGCAGATAGAAATGCGTGTTTACCGTACAGTGTATAATTAAGTTCTACCGTTCCCTGACAAATATCATATTTTCCTCAAATCACAAATGAGAACTGAATTAAGCTAGAAGATCTACATACTTCTACATCTCATCCGATAATTGTTTAATTACTCTAATAAATATAACCACTAAGATAAGCGTCGAAATCTTTTCAATCTCATGTGTTAATTTCCTCTTGAACTAGGCGACTTCTGGCTCGCACGATCCCATGTCTAAAGTAGCTGTTCTTCCAATTATGCGACTTAACACAGCTATTCCATAACTGACTACAGGCAATAATGCGGCAATAAAAGGTGAGCAAAACCTGGAGCTTCATTTGGGCTTCCTATCAGCCATTGCGCTTACCGGAGGCTTACATGCTATCCACCACACCAACATAGGCTCTTGCTTTGCCTTTTCCTCAGGCAGGTTTTACTAGGTGGTAAGGAGTGGAAATAAAAGTAAGGATAGGCACTAAAAAAAGTTAAGCCATTGTGCTTACAAGGTTTTGATTTAATTAAAGACGCCAATGACCGCTTATACCAAACAATTAGAGAAACTTTTACCTCCTGTGCAACATATTTTTCTCTCCTTAATTTCGGCCTTAACATCATGTTCTTCAGCGCCCCTTCGGAATTAATTCATAAATTTTTTAGTTCATGGGTATTAAATGCAATGCACTCACAATTGCTTCAGATATCCAGCAACAATTTTAGTTTTCTGCCCATTCTGTGACAAAAGTATTATATCGAAGTCTGAAGTTGCGATTTTGAGAAATCAAACGTTCCATGTGGAAGCAAGCAGCAAGCCAACCCACGAACGAAGACCAATTGAACATCCTTTTGGCAAAGTATTTTTCGTCACTACAGTTGCAGGCTTTTGGAAAATACAACTGCGGGTGTTTTGGTCACCATGGATGTTAAGGCGACTATGGCTATACGAGTGATTTGTGCTCTTTTTATTTTCCTCCCTTCAATTATAGGAGTGGCACTCCATTTTACGGTCTCGGCCGCGTTATACAAGGTAACTGAATTTTGTAATCAGAAGAAAAACAGTGAACGAGTGAAAGAAGGTCACATTAAATTTTTGAGTGCATAAAGATTTCAAGAACATGGTAAAATTATTCTTGGTCTTTATTAGATTAATCCATTTATTGCGTGCCTCTACAGCTATTAATAAAATGTGAACTGCTAGTGTAATATTTCTTTTTAAATTTCTATGAAAACAGACTACAAGGCGGTGGGGTAGCGCAATGATCAGTGATGCCCAGCCCATCAAGAAAAGAGAGGTGCTGGTTCGAGCCTCATCCAATACCTGTGGAAACACCTTAACGCGGATTTCTTCAAGACTGCGAGAAGAACTGACTCGATCAGCGTTCTACGACATTCAAAAAAAAGCAGAATCCTTAAGCAGCAGCCGAAACAACATGGGAAGTGTTCGAAGGTCACTGCGGACGATGAATAAAGAAAATCAAATTAAATACAAGTGCTAGGATCCGTAAAACAGATGTGACGACGGGTCACGTAAACCAAAAAAAAAGAGCATACATATATCTAGGGAGACCGTTATGTTTGTGGCATGTGTTTCATCCTCGCCTTAACATAGCAGTTACTTAGTTGGCCGTTGCAGGATACTTATTTACTTGAATAGTTGGATGGTCCATTTTCACGAGTTGTGCGATCCCCAGCACACTTGCCATTCGTTTCTTTCACTCAGAATCGTCGTCCATGGTGGTGGTCTTGTTCGAGCATGGTAGCGCTTGCAAGTCTCATACCTTGATCTGTAAAATAACTGCAGCTCCGAGTACAGCTGATTAACTTTGCTTAGGAACACGTCTGCCCAACGTGTAGGTGGTCGTGCTAGGAGACGTTTGCATTCTCGTGGAGTCTACTCTACAGTTCTCTTCGTCTATCTGTCGCCCGTTCTTCACATTACATGACCGGCACATCTATTTTTCGCTGTCGATGTATATTCTTCTGGATCTCGAAGATGTGACAGATTTCGAAGGTCAGAGCTTCGCATTCTGGCTACACATTGAGAGTGCCGGTTATATTTTAGAAGGCATAGCTCAGGTGCTCTGTGAGTAGTGCGAAGCATTCTTGACGTAGTTGAAGTATCAACCCACGTCTCTGTAGCATGACAGAGTGCTGGGAAGACCGTACAATCAAAGAGATGAGCGCGGATTTTCGGGTCCTTCAGTTGGTTGATGGCTTTTTGAGAGGCTCGAATGCGGCCCAAGCTGCTCTTATTCTTTTACCTAGTTCCTCCTTCATGTTGTTTTTCCATGTTTATTGATCGCCCAAAGTAAACGTACGAGTCGGTCTCTGCAGTCGGAAAGCCACCCAGTTTATTTTTTTTGCCCTCACACCATGGATTTTTCATGAACTGGATCTTCTTTCGATTTATGCATAGTCCGACCTTTTTACCGCTTCGTGAGCTCGTTGATTATCGTTTCTGCTTCGCTAGTACTTCTTGAGAAGATGATGACAATTTCGTTGGCAAAACGGTTTGGTGAAAATATCCCATCAACACGTATGCCTTTCTCATCCCAATCGAGTGACTTCACTGCGCACGGCAGTACGGCAGTAAACAGCTTTGGCGATATTGTGTCGCCCTGTCGAACCTCTTTTTTCGTAGGTTTTGTAAGAGGTCGATGGAAAAGTTGTATTTTCGTAGTGCAGTTCCGATAACAATCAGACAGAGTTCTCATGTGGGACGGATCCATTCCTTGGTCGACGAGCGCTGATAGCATTGCATTCGTTTCGACACTGTAAAACGCTTTCTCATAGTCGACAAAGGTTAGGACTAGAGGCAAGTGGTATTTCCGACAAATTTCGATGATCCTAGACAAGGTTTGGATGTGGTCCATGCATCAAAATCCTTTTCGAAATCCTGCTTGCTCGACTGGTTGTGCTTCATACAATGTCCTTGATATGTGCGAGAGGATAATCTTCGTGAAGAGCTTGTAGAGCACACTAAGCAAGCATTTCGGTCGAGAGTTACGAAGATTTCTTCGGTCACCTTTCTTGGGCAGGATGACCGTGCTCGACTTCCTCCAATGGTCTGGGATTTCTTATTTTTGTGGTAGGCAATCACATGGTTTGCGACAAGTACATGTAAATTGTGGCTTCCAGCTCTAAGGAAGTCGGCGAAAATTTATAGGACTTTGGAGCTGTGTCTCTTTTATGGTTTCTCTCGCAATCGAATCTCCGACGAGTGAATTCCAGGTGGTTTTTCTCTGGAGGGGATATTGGTGTCGGGACGAAGATTGCGCGGAGGAAAAGTTGGTGAAGAACGTTTCCGTTATCATTTCCATATCATGGCCAAAGGTTTCGACGATCCTACTTCCATTAGTTTCTTCTGCTTGCACCAATGCCGATTTTCCTGCAAGGCTCTTCTGCAGCTGGCATTTATTACTAGCCATATTGTGGGATCAAGCTTCAGTTTCATTCTTTTTTCGAGCAACTCCTTACTAGTAATGGAGATGCGATCCGATCTTCTTGATTGAGGACCTGAGGCGAATTCGGCACAGCTTTTCAGACATCCGACAAGCAGCTCGTATTATTCCATCGGGTCTTCTTTAATCTGCCAGTCACGTTTGGTTAGGACTTCGTTCGGAATGTTTTCGTTGCATACAGCAAGAGCTTTTCCTAGGATCAATGAAGAGAGTTCTTTTCCAGTTCTTGGCTGAATCGAATCTTCGCATGCAGAAGGCGGTGATCGGAACCAGCACAAGATGACAGGACTACCGATGTGTCAAGTAGGCACCATCTTTTGTTTGTCAGAATATGGTCGATCTCCGCATGAGTCATGCCGTTGGGAGACTCCCTTGTCCAGCGGCGGCTTTCTTTCTTCTGGAAAAACTAGTTTCCATGGAAGAGACGTGCTGCAGACAAAAGTTCTTCGAGACGGTTCCCATCCTTATCTCTTCTTCCTAATCCAAAATTTCCGATCGTGTATCTGCTCTCGTTGACCTTTCCTATTCTGGCGTTGAAGTCTCCGACAACAAAATTATGATATGCTTTGTCATTGCGGATGGCTTCCTCCAACCGATAGTAGAACGCATTTAATTTGTACTCATCAGCGGCGTTGAACGGTGAGCTGCAGTTGATGATCTTCTTATGATGCGACAGTTGAAGACGGAGGGCGGCAATGCGAGGGGAAAGGATCTCGTATGAGTCTACAAGATGGACAATGGACGACAAAGTCTCCGTCGCCGACATTTCGTGACAGGACCTTTTCTCCACGGATCACAAGGGTCGCGTTGTTTAGCTGGAGTCTGTCGGTCTTCTTGATTTTTGCTTCTTGTAGTGCGATTAGATGAAATTTGTCATGGAATGGAACACTTGGCATGACAAAGAAGGCCCTATATTCCACATAGATATCCTGCACACGGTTTTTACCATATAAATTCCAGCATAATGCGTACGTGTGAAGAAGCGAGATCGTAGATAGACGAAAACTTTCAGTTTTAATTTTGCATCGAGTTTATTGTTTTATTCTCCAACCCTTTCACGTCTCGCCATCTTTGTTTCTTACCATGACCATTGCAGGACTGGAATAAATTTCGCGGCAACTGCTACTATTTCTTTGTGATACAAATAATCGGCTGTAATATATTCTCGCTGTTTCTCTTCCTATATATCGCCTTCCCAATTACACTAACAGGAGTGCAGGTGGATTTATCCTAACATACTTTTTTCCCAGTTCGTAATGAGAATTCGAAAACATGTTTACCTGTTTTCTAGTGGTTTAACCGATTTCAAATGGTTTTCTTACGCGCTCATAAAATTGTTAACCAATTTATTATTTAATTTGTAATTGCTTACCTCCAGTCTTTTTGATCGTTCTCAGCAGGTCTCGAACATCTCAACGATTTAATGCAGACATTTATTTCTTCACTGGCAATATCAGTGACAAAACACAACTGTCTACAATGGTTTACTCTGACTTCTGAAGTTTTATTACGAGCATAATATGAGTTAGGTTAATCTCTAGAACCAATCGCTCTCAGCTGACCAACTTATTCTCAACCCACTTAATAGGAACGCGTCTGAAAGAATAGGTAAGCGTAGAAAAACGAGAGTTCTTTTTTTTGCAGTACATGGGTGACGGTCTCACGTTTTACTATGGGCCGTTATTTTTTGATGGTATTGTCTACAATGGAATGGTTTTCTTCTCATTCCTAATCGCAGTCAACAGGCTTACCATATTTGTGTTTCCAAGGATTAATGACAAACTCTTCTCACCAAAAAATACCCTGAAGTGAGTTCTTTCTCAGCTTAGCGTTACAACGTTCCTAAGAGTGACGATTTTACTACCGTTTGGCAAACAGCCAATTGGAACGGCATCTTGCGTTCTGAGCCTTGTTCAAGGCAAAGAGTAAGATTTCGTACTTTATGAAGCTTATCATAACTCGTATGAGCAACAGAACTTCTCCAAGCGAAAAAGGCGAGATAAAAGCACAAGCACACGGTCGTGAAACAAGGAGTGCTTTACTGGCTAACTGCTTATGATTTTATGATTTATGATTCTATGATTTATTGATTTATGATTTGTTGTACTTGGAATGTGGGCTTGGTTATATCTTCAGAATTTCGGTAATAGTTTGGCTCTATATCTTCGCTTTTTCGATTGCCAACCAACTTCTTGGATGCACAAAAATGTACTCAGAAGAAGGTGAGTCGATGTGAAGCATTAAAGTTTCTTTAAATGAGAATTTCTTGCGGATTCAAAGTGTAAAGCAATCGAACATAAGAATTTTGTTAAACATCAATGTAGAGGTTGAAAGAAAATTGGTCCTGGGGTCTATAACAGTTTTCTTTCAGAATTTTACTTTTGGTATGATTGCCCGAATTGGAAAGATGGAGCTAGTCCGTACAATGACGTAAGTGCTCAGACTTAATTAATGGACTTAGAGCCACACACCAACCGAGACCCTTGATTTGAATTTCTCTCAGCCAGTTTTTTTACTTAAGCAATGCTACCACTCGTCAACGGAATTGTGACGCACGGCAGGTGTCGCGACGGGTAATCGTGGATTCGAAGCTCACCTGGGCTTCTGCGTTTTGCTCGTATTTCAGCCTTCTTGTGGCTACCTTTTACATAACACTCCGCCATCAAAAAAATATGCAGCAAATAGGGCTTAAAGCATTGTATTCTCATGGACTATTGAGCTTGGCGTGGTTGTTAGAAAATGTTGTGTTCAATTTTAAAAATTGAAAAGAAAGAACTATGAGAAATATCAGTCCATGGACTCAGAGCCTTAACATCGAAACACTTATAAGAGAATTCAGGAGAGAATATTCGGGTTTTTAGCTTATAACGTATCAATCCTGTATGTTGGCGGCCGTGATGTGCATAATATACATAGTGGTTTTCGCAAAAATTTGGACATCACAGCGGAAATTTGCTGGTAAAACATTCAAAGACGAAAAAAATATCTTGATCCAGGTAAGGATTTCTCGTGTTCCTTGCTTTACAGTTTCTCCGTTGACCCTATCTATCGGTTATAAAAGCACTATGTCATGGAATGGAGCATTTGTTCCGTCGTTAAAAAACGCTTCAAACTGCGCGTGGATATCCCTCTCTCGGTTTTTAAAGTGGCAATTGGAACACAATTTGCACCTGTAGAGAAACGAGGTTATAGAGAGCCTGGACCGAATCGGCCAAACGTTTGTTTCTTCACGTCGCCAAAAATTAGATTCTTCAGTTTTATTTTTTTGTCGAGTTTATTCTTCTATCCCACAACCGTCTCACTTAATTCAGCGTCAAAGATTTTCTATTCTTAATTATTGATCCAAATAGATGCTTATCCATGTGATTTCAGACAATACCACACAGTGCGTTTATCGCTTTCGAAGTGACAATGTTCAAATTCATTCCCTTCCTTAGCGTATCCGGTTATCATCGCTTTATTGTTGTTACTTTCGAGAACTTAGTCATTATCGCAAGCGTGGTGGCGTCACCAATCCTGCTGTTAATCTTTAACGCGGATGTTCAGAAAAATGCCACCGAGTTTTTCGAAAAATGTCGGTCTCTGTGTATGCATTTCAAGAGGTTTAAAGTCGTACTATATTGTCGATGATAGTTCACTCCCTGCAGTCCAAGAGGCATTGGTGCGGCTTTCCCAGGACTGCGACCTTAAGCAGAAGTCGGATCCACAAGCGGAAAGTTCCAAGCCCTGCGTGGACGAGGGAGGCGAAGAAGTGAATCGAATGCCAGAAGTCCTAGGATTCAGTTAATGTAAAGACAGGTTCTGTGAACTAAAGAAAAGATAAAAATTTATCTATTTTGTAGCATGATTAGGGTGATTTTCGTGATGTGTTGCGTGCATCAAACTCGCCGTCTTCATTATCAATAGCTACTAATAATTATACACCAGTAATTCATTATTTTTGCAAACTTTTGAACGTACAAGCCCGAAATCATACTAGTGAGCAGCTCAAGCATTGGAAAGTAGAAAGATCTCTCTATGCGACTGCTAACTTGTCTGCGGTTTCTCAAACCAACATCGACATTAAAGTGTCAATAGGCGCTACTAACTGAACATCCCTGTGGCGTGTTCGTGGCGCCTCTTTTACCCTACAGTTCTATAGTTCTTCCAAACTACTCTTTTTTGTCATTGCTCTCTCCTCTTCGTAGGCTGTGCTTTTGATTGTCGTTTGAAATTACTTTTCTGATTTCACCGTTGTTCTCAATTGTAGAATGAAGCGAGGTGCTATCCTATTTCCTTTGCTCGCTCAACTCTTTAA